GCTGCGCTACCAGGAAGGGCCTTTTCTTTTTTTTTAATGACTGGTTTAATGTTGTGCTTTGGAAAGAATCTTCTACCATACAAAAGTTTCTTAAATATACTCTGAGTCATATATTTACATCTGTAGAGTGATCAACCGGTTGTATAATTGGCTCGGTGCACTTAAGAGTCATTAGATTGCACCATTGTTGATGCTGCAACTTCAGGAAATCATTCAGCCTATCCATGGCTACATAGTTGATCATCTTATACCATTTCTGATATAGTTCTGTTTGCTTGGAAACAGACATAGATAGACAAAGTTCATTTTTGTAAATATTAATGGAGTGCTCAATCCCTCTCAAGTATAAACTGAGATTCTAGGCTGTATACATTTTCAGTTAGGAGTCATTTTGCTTAAGCTGAGATTTCCAACTGTTCCCAAACCATGCTTACTGAATATTCTAAATTAGTCAAGAATTCTTTTTGTAATGTCTAGAGAGTTCATCCAGGTACTCAGCAAGATGAAATAAAAAAAAAATCTTCTTGATTTATGTGGAGACATTCATTTAATAGAAGCAAAAAGATGCACTATAGAGGCACAACAACTTGAGATGGAACCTTGGCTCTGTTCTTTCCAGCAAGAGAGGACACACTGTGCGAGAGATGGACATAGACTGATGAAAGGCCATGATTTTGGCCCAAAGACCAGTGGAAGGATTTAGTTCAGACTTGGTTTTCAATAGCGGAGCAGGGTGGTGGGATGAGACTGAATCTGTTGCATTTGCTCTGACGAGGATAGTGGAGTCCAAGATGCTGAAGGTGACACAGGAGTGCATATGTGCATGGGGGTGATGAGGAGATGCCCCAGACACCTGGAGAACATGGAATACTTCTGATACCACTATAGCTATAGATAGACAAGAAGCTACAGGTCTACTGAAATTAGCTCTTGAATAAAAAGGTTAGGAAAGGGCCCTCCCTGGTGACACAGCAGGTTAAAGCACAGCACTGAGAAGCTAAAGCCACTTCAGCATGAGTTCGATCCCCACCCCGGAGGTGATCCACATGGCCCAGCAGACCTCTCCTGACTCACCCACTGCTCCCCTCAGCAGTGTGCTTGATTGATCTGCCTGTCCTACCCCCCATTCTGTCTCTGGTGAAGCTGCTCACTACCCCTGCACCTCTGGCCTGTACCCCAGTTTTGTATGCATAAATAAATAAATGTTTAAAAAAAATAAAGGTTAGGAAACCATCACTGGTTTGAAGGTTTGATAACCATCACTGTCATTCAAATCAAACATGCACATATCTGCACCTTGGTGACAGTAGTGACACACCCACCCCCTCTTTCATTCTCTTTCTTTGTCTCCCCCATCTCACCCAGATCCCTCATCTCACTTTCATTCTCACTCCCACTGTCACCCCCACTAGGCTCTAAGATCCTGACACCACCTCAGGTTCATGTCTTTGCCCTCTAACCTCACATGATGCCTTCAGGTTCCCTCCACCACTTGATAACTTGACTACTCTTTGCTCTCCTTTTCTGAAAGATAAGGAAAATCATTATGAACATAAGATGGCCATGAGATTAAGTGAGATAAGATGAGAAAGGCAGGCAACAGGGTGCCAGGAGGGCCTTCCTGCAGCACAGTCACCCGTTAGTGCTTGTCCTCTCTGTTGCTATGACCACATGTCCAGATCCCTTTGCACACAGAGACTGTTCATTCCATAGAGACTCGTGTGGCCACATGCCAGGCACCAGAAAACAAAGTGGCTTTCTTATTGCTGCTTACAGTCTTCACAAAAACCCTTTGAGGGAGGAATAATTATCCACCTTTTATTGCAAGAGAACTAAGATTCAGGAGCAATTTTCTCTAGAACCTACAGTTTGTGAACCATACAGTCAATATCACATATAACTCCATGTCTGGACCCACACATATAATGAATTCTCTATCACATGTTGAGGAGCGGGGCATTCATTTCTGATTAAGCATATATTTTACTGAGAAGTCCATGCTTGCAACACCATTCTCACACTAAGTATAACTTGGCTTCCTTTGGTGAGTCACATCTGCAAACTCTTCCCCTTCACATTCTCTGGAGGCTTGAGGTTAAAGACCACATGTATTTTATGAGAGTTCAATTGTCATGCCTCTAGCTGGGGACACATCTTGGATCATCCTGGATGCTCACTCACTTCATGTAGATTGAATGTATGAATGGATGCTATGTAAGGACCTTGCATGCTCTGCAGCAAGTTAAAAGTGACCTAGTTGAGTAAAAGAAAAGAGATAATAGGGGCCAATCTTCTCCTTAGACCAGACACATGATTACGTCTGTACACAGACTCCCCTCGATATACTCCCTCACACACAGGCATACCTTTAGTCCTCCTTTTTGGGCCCACAGACATGTGCATATTCATCTGTGACTATTTGACTATTTTTTAGTATGTGAAGAAATATGGAAACTTGCTGAGCCTGGATTTCGGCCAAATGCGTTCAGTAATTATAAGTGGGTTGGCCTTAATCAAAGAAGCCCTTGTCAACCAGGACCAAAACTTCGTGGACCGCCCTGTAATGCCTCTTCGAGGACATTTCTTTAAGACAAATGGTAAGTTTCTTGAGCCATGTAAGATGACTTTGATATTCTTATGGTCTCTGAAAGGTGCCTCTGTGACTATAATTCTCCATCATCCCCAGAGTCCTGGTTCCTTATAAATTTCCTACCACTTAAGGAAGCTACATACTCACACTTCCCTGTTGAGAGCATCTTTTCAAAGATTTGGAAGGGTGAGCCCTAACGTCAGGGGTTTGAGAGAACTGTGCCACCTACATGAACCTATTCTCATTTTAATAAACACGTAACCACATTTCTCTGTGTTAACAGAAGAAGAGGCATTCCCATAAAGACCATCCCCATAGTGCATCTCAAGTCTTCTAATCTATGTTAGAAAGTTTGGAGAAAAAGAAGTTTATCGTGAGTAATTAATAAACTTAACCATTTGCAAATGTAAATGAAAAGCTGAAGTTTATTTCTCTAGCAAAGCACCATTCTTAGTTCCTCTTGGGAAATGTTTTCTCCATTAACTTCATCTCCACTTATCCTACTTACTACCCGCTGTGTGAAGCACAGTGGTAGGCATGAGTGATAGCAAGCAGGACAGATACAGCCCCTCTCCCCAGGTAACTTCCATTCAATTCAAGAAGCATTGAGGAGCTTAGTGTTGTGTGTATACGAGCAGGATGCGCTTATTAAGGGCTTCTTCTCTAGCTGTGGGCTTCAGGAAAAGTTAATGTAAGTAACTTTCAGTTCAGTAATCAAGCAGAGGGAATAGGATGTGAAAAGTCCCTGGGGTGGAAAGAAAGACGGACGATGAATTGAAAGGCGGCTAGTGTTTCAACCACATGGATTCATGGAGATAATTAAATGGACACGAAGTTGACAATCTTCACAAGGAATAGCTCATGCAAATTCTTGTTAACAATGTTGCTTTTATCCTTCTAAGAGGAGGTTTTAGGTAGGGAAGTGAATCACTATATTTCATCATATCATTTAAAGACCTACCTAGGCTGCAGTGTGGGGAATACAATAAAAGAAGCAGGAGACTATTGAACTATTTCAGGTTAGAGAAGGTGGTAACTCAAACCAAGAAGGCGGCAAGAAGTGGCAGTACAATGGGTTAGACCAATAAAGTATCAGAGGACCTATATGGGTTTAAAATGTTCAGGAGGTAAATCCAGTAAGACAGAATGTCCTAGATGGAAGGGGAAAGGAGAAGAAGGCAGTGTAGAGGTAGACACACACATGGCTAGATTCTGGAAAAAGGGATATTTGGTGGAAGATAAACTGCTTAGTTTGACTTAGTGGGTTGTATGTAGAAAATCATGAATTCAGCAATGGATATGCTCAGTTTAAAATGCCTTTAAGTCAGAAAATCAAGCAGACAATTGTGTATATGTCACGAGACCAAGGACAGAATAGATGGTCACTGCTAATGGATGTTATTTAAAATTGTAGGAATTGGTGAGATTTCCCAGAAACAGAGTATAGAGTAAGAACAGATAGGATATTAAGGCCTAATCTTTTTTTTTTTTTAAGAATTAGTTATTTATGTAAACTAGAGCAGGGGTATAGACCAGAGGTGCAAGGGGTGAGAGGATTCACCAGAGACAGAGTGGGGAGTAGAACAGGCAGATCAACTGAAATACACTGCTGAGGGGAGCAGCGGGAGACAGGACAGGAGAGGTCTTCTGTGCCATATGGGTTAGTGCCCTGGCCACAGGCTGGGGATCCATCTCATGCACCAGTGGCTGGCGATCACTTGATAACACTGTCTTTAATCCCTGAATCCCCAGGGAGGCCCAAGTTTCAGGCATAATCTTGACTCAATCATTTCAGAATTTGGTAGAAGATGAACTAGCAAATGATACAGGACAATGTTGTCTGCTGCCAGAGAATGAAGAGGGAAGTCAGGAGAGTGAGGTACCCTGAGTACCACTGGAAGAACATAGTTAAAAAAGAATCAAAAAGATAAACTCATGCCTTTCTCAGCAACATGGATGGAGCTGGAAGGGATCATGCTTAGTACAATAAGCCGGAACAGAAAAATACCAGATGGTTTCACTCATAGCAGGAGTATAAGGGATCAGGGTGGGGAAAGAAATTGTAAAAAAGCAAAAATGGAAAAACAATGAACTATAGACCAGAGACATTTTACAAGGGGTGGAGAGGAGAATAGGATCAAAGCTAGGGCAGGAAGCACGCACGGGACTATGGTGATGGCACACGGGTGAACTGGTGGTGGGACATCCACAGGGATTAAAACAGAGATGAAAAAATGTACAAAATGAATGAAGGATGAGGTAAAACATGAATAAATAGGGTCCTCCTTAGTGACACAACAGGTTAAAGCACAACATTATGAAGCCATTGCAAGCCACTGCAGCACGAGTTCAATCCCTAGCCAGGGAGCTGACCCACATGGCACAGCAGACCTCTCCTGACCCACCAGCTGCTCCCCTCAACAGTGTACTTTGTCAATCTGCCTGTTCTGCTCCCCACTCTGTCTTTGGTGAATCCTCTCACCTCCCACAACTCTGACTTGTACCCTAGTTCTATATGAATAAATAAATAAATCTTTTTTAAAAACATAAATAAATATATTTTTTAAATTTAAAAAAAAAGAGTCTCGTGCTGTTGAAACACAAGAGTCTGAAAAGTTCCCCTTGGATTTGACAAGAAGGATGATTTTACTGGTGTTTTAGGTGGCAAAGACATGTTCTGAAGAATTGCAGAGTGCTGTGAAAATAGCAACTCAAAAGGAGTGACCTTACCCTGAGTATAAAATCCATGAAGTTCCATTGATTACACCTGGATGGTTGTTCCCTTTGCTTTGCAATTCCTTCTGCATGGATTCTTCACTATTCCTTGTTTTCTTTCATCATTCCTTCAGCTTTTTGGGTCCTGCTTAATTGGGACCTCTCCTATAAAACCTTGCCTCCTTCAGAACTTAGACTCAGTCTTTTCTGTGGGTGTGTTCTTCATATGTAACATGCCCTAGATACTTCGATATGCTTTCATGGCCAGTAATCATGATTGTGGAGTCAGACACACCTGAATTTGGATGTTTGCTCAGCTACTTATTCACTAGGACCTGCCAGGTTAAATTTATTCCTGTATGTTAATTTTCTTATCAGCAAAATGGGATTGGGGGATAGCTCTATCTTCCTCCTAGAGTTTTTGTGAGCACTAAATTACATAAGACATAAAAGTTACTAAAGTACCTAACATTTCAACCAATCAGGAAATGTAGTCATTATAGCAGTGCCCTGGGCTTATTCCTGTGACTAGCTTTCAATACTTCATTTTTTCCCTCCATTTGTTACAAACCTGCCATTAAATATCAGTTTTCATCTCCTAGAATTTGAATACCACAATGTTGTCTTTTTTTTTCCCCCAGGATTGGTCATGTCCAATGGTCAGGTATGGAAGGAGCAAAGGAGATTCGCCTTGATGACACTAAGGAACTTTGGCTTAGGGAAGAAGACCTTAGAGGAACGCATCCAGGAGGAAGCCCATTACCTCGTCCAGGAAATAGAAAAGGAGGAAGGTGAGTGTTTCACAGGATAGATGCAGGAGGTGGTAGCTTATTGAGTCTCTTAAAAGATTCTCATAGTCAGGGCCTGTCCTCTACCCAGTAACAGGTGAGACAATTGAAGATGTAACACAGCTAACCACAACCCTGTCTTCCTGGAGTTCTAGAATTAGCACAAGAAGATGGCTTTAAACCCAAAGCTAATTTTTTTTTAAGATTTATTTATTTATGCATACAGAAATGGGGTACAGGCCAGAGCTGTAGGGGGGTGAGAGGTTTCAGAGACAGAATGGGGAGCAGAACAGGCAGATGGACGAAACACACAGCTGAGGGAAACAGCGGGCGGGTCAGGAGAGGTCTGCTATGCCTGGGGATCAAACTCATACTGCAGTGGCTTTAGCTTCTTAGTGCTGTGCTTTAACCCACTGCACCACCAAGGAGGACCCAATTTTGTTTTATTTTTAACAGTTCTACTAATGTTTATTTTCCTTGCTACCACCCTTTATATCCCCTTGTCCCTTCCCTTCCTCACCTCCCTTTGAACCTAAGAACCTACATGGTGTCCATGGATGTCCACTGGTTTTGGAGAATGATTTTTGTTCTCAAACTGTTTCTAAATAAATCTCCAATATTTGTTTTTATCATTCTGACTTGCTTTACTATACATAACTCTCTCAAACTCCCTCCAATTTTATTGAAAACAGCCATATTTCATACTTTCCTGTGGTTCCATGTTACTCCATAGTCTGAATATACTCCATAGTCTAATCCAACCATTTCTGATGCCATTTAGGCTGCTTCCACTTCCTAGCTATTGAAAATAATACTGGTATGACATTGTGGACCATAAGGTTTATTGGGCTGCTAGTTTCATTTTCTTTGGGTGGATGCCTAAGTGGGCTTGCTGGGCCATGTGGGACTTCCACTTTTCATTTTTTAGGGTAAATCTAGGCTGCTTTCCATGATGGTTGTACCAGATCCCATTTGCACTAACAGTGAATTAGAGTTCTTTTTCTCCACATCCTCTTCAGTGGTTGTTGGAGGTTTATTTCATAGCAGCCGTTCTCACAGGCATGAGATGGTATCTCGCCGTGATTATAACTTGCATCTTCTTATTGAAAGTAATGAACACTTTTTTTCATTTGTTTCTTGGCCTTCAGGATATATTCTTCTGATGCATTGTCTGTTCATATCTTATATCTGTTCGTCTGTCCCTTACTGATTTTGACCACCCTGGTCACCAGTTTAACTTCCCAGGCTTTGCCTGAGTATTTACTATATGCTAGAACCTGTATGGGGGTCTGTGGCCAGAGCCTCGTGTTTGGTTCAATACTCGATGTCATATCATGTACAGTAAACATGCCATGGAAAATAGAAACCAATCTCTCTAAAGAATCCATTCCAATACTTCTTCCACTCCAGCACAACCCTTTGACCCCCACTTCAAGATCAACAATGCAGTTTCCAATATTATTTGCTCAGTCACATTTGGGGAGCGCTTTGAGTACCAGGATGATCAGTTCCAGGAGCTGCTGAGGCTGCTGGATGATGTAACATGTCTGGAAACTTCACTGTGGTGCCAGGTAAAGCAATTCTATTTCTATAACATTTTTCTGGGGCTGGCAACTCACAATTCATAAAACAAAACTCAAGATTTAAAGTTGGGAGAAAATCAGGTTTAATCAGATGCCAGCAAACACAATGACATGATAGATCACTGTCATAAAAGCCATCTGCCCAAACTGGGGAGAAGCAGGGAATTGTATTTGGGGTAATAAAGAAGGGGAAGGGTTAAAGAGTAGGCATCAGCAGGATTTCAGAGAAACAGGGAGGGATTCCAGAATTGAATGCATGCTCTTTTTCCTTCAAAATTTGGTTTTGGCAAGATTTGTCACGGTGCTTGTGGGTGTGATTTTTACTATTCTAGTGAGGCTCTGGGATAACTCTCCTCTCCTGTCTCATCTTGATTTCAGTAAGTTTTGCCTGGTTTTCTGGTTTTGTCTGAAAGGAAAGGAAAACAGAAGCAAAGCCACGACAAACAGGACAGGGAACTTATGGTTACTAGGCCAGTGACAATTCCCATCTCCTCATTCTTGAGTGGCAATGAGTAAATGTCCATCTTCTGGGAATACTTCCTGCTGAATAGGGGCCAAGGTTGGGGGGAGCATAGAGGAGCAGAATCCTACCAGCCTAAGTTGTTGCTGCAGAGTTATATACCCAACTGTCTAGACCCTTGACTTTTGACATTTCAAAATTTTAATATCTCCCATTCTGGAGGTAAACACAAAATAGGTGATTCAGGAGAGAAGGCCCAGTGATCAAAAGAAGTAAGCAACATACTAACAGTGATCCTAAAACCAATTAAGAACTCCATCTGTCCAAGCTGATTACAAAAAACTTTATTTATAATAGGAGTCCAGGGCCAGGATTCCGTTTGTTCAAGATGCCCTGTCTGTGGATAGCTGCTTTATCTGCATTCTCAGTCCCTAGCAGGCCTTGTAGCTCCCCTCGAGGTTGTTGCTGTTACTGACCTGTAAAAGCAAGACCCAGAGATGAATTAAGTTTGTGTGTGTGTGTGTATACTCTTCATGTCCAAGAGCCATTTTGCCTTACTATCATTTTCGTATTGTATTAAAGACTTGGGGGCTGATGGCAGACACTGATGGGGACTTCCTTTTTGAGTTAAATAAACCTTTTTAAAATGGACGTCACTATCTAAAATCAATCGGTTGGCTTTAGTGGTTTGATAAATTGTTTTATAAAATGTTATATACAGAGAAAATTTTTACCATTCCCATAGGGCATAGAAGTTTACAGGTCATATAACTATGTACATAGGTTGCTTTATTTGAAAGGCACGATATTGCATTGCTTTTATGTCCCCCCACTCTTGTTTCCCCCAACCCCCTGGTACCCCTCATCCATTCCTATCCTCCTCAGAGGCACGCTTCTGTAACTGGCCTCTTGCTGAACAGACTATTATAAAAATCATCTGTATTGGTCTTCAGTAGAAAATATTCTGAGTAGTATTTCACTGTATGAATTGCCATTGTTTATTGTTCTAGTCTATTGTTTCCAGCTTGAGGATGGCATAAATAAGTCTGCCATTAACATTCTTGAAAACTTGCCCACTCTTCCCCTGCATGTATACCTGGACATACAGGATGCCTAAAGTCTCCCAAAGCAGTTGCACTACTTATATGGTGATCACTTGATATTACCAACCTTCTAATTTCATACTGTGTGGGCTTTTGTGTCCAAACTTCACTCTTTTCTTGAAAGGAGAATATTCTAGGCAGAGGAATTGCAAATCAAAGGCCTAAAGCAGGAAGACCTGAGATGTTATCTCAGTGACCTATAAGGCTGACTGAAAGACTAAGAGAGAATAAGATGGCAAGAAGTGATAACTAAGCAGCTGACCCCTGTAGAGATTACAGGCTCTGGCAATGATGTCAAACTGAGTGTCATTGAAAGTCATTGTAGAATTGAAAGCACAGGAGATATGATTTGATTATTCAATGAAGTGAGCCTCCTGGCAGTGCTTTAAAATATAGACTGGGAATGAAGTTAATCATAGAGTCAGGAAATCTGTTGAAGCCTATTAAACAGCCAGGGTAAAAAAAAAAGTATTGGTGGTTTACACTAGGGTAACAAAACAGTTGCAGTGTGAGAAGTGGTGTGTACTGCCTATATATATATATATTTTTTTTTAAAGACTTATTTATTTATTCATATAGAACTGGGGTACAGGCCAGAGATGAGGAGGGTGAGAGGATTCACCAGAGACAGAGCGGGTAGCAGAACAGGCAGGTCAATGAAGTACACTGCAGAGGGGAGCAGTGGGCAGGTCAGGAGAGGTCTGCCACACCATGTGGTCACCCCCGGGGCAGGTGGGAATCTAACTCATGTGGAAGTTTTTTAAGCTTCTTAGTGCTGCGCTTTAACTCGCTGCGCCACCAGGGAAGGCCACTGCCTATATTTTTAAGGTAAGGCTGAAGTGCTTTCTCTAGAGCAAACAGAGGAGGGTGAAAGAGGTAGGAATAGGCAAATGTAACTCCAAGGGTTATGTAAAGAAATTGGGCACAGTGTCTTCACAATTATACTGTTTTATCAATTAGCTCTACAATGTCATTCCACGGATAATGGATTTCTTACCTGGACCTCACAAAAAATTATTCAAGTATTGGGACAAAATGAAATTATTTGTTGCTCATATGATTGAAAACCACAAGAAAGACTGGGATCCTGATAAACCAAGAGACTTTATTGATGCTTATCTTAAGGAAATGGAAAAGGTAAGGAAACCAAAGTTGTTCCCTAAGTTTGGCTCTTAAGAAGCAAATAGAGGTATAATAGTTTTCTATTCAAGTAACAAGTTACCCCAACTCAATGGCTTAAAACAGCACAGATTAATTTTATTACAGTTTTGGAGCGCAGAAGCCTAAAACCTGTCCCACTGGGCTAACATCAAAGGGCTGAGAGGCCAGATTACTTCAGAATAGTTTAGTGGAGAATCGGTGTCCTTAATTTTGCAGCTTTAGAGACAGCTTATACTTCTTGGTTTAAGGCCCCTCTTCCATCTTCAAAGTCAGAGGTGGTATCTTTTTCACAGTTATCATTTTTACATCTTCCTTTTTTTTTTTAAAGATTTATTTATGCATATAGAACTGGGGTACAGGTGCAGGGGAATGAGAAGATTCACCAGAGACAGAGTGGGGAACAGAACAGGCATATCGACAAAGTACACTGCTGAGGGAAGCAGCAGGCAGGCCAGGTCTGCTGTGCCATGTGGGCCACCTCCCTGGCTGGGGATAGAACTTGTGGTGAAGCTGCTGCAGTGAGCTTCATGGTGCTGCACTTTAACTCCTTGCATCACCAGGGAGGGCCCTACATCTTCTCTTTCTAACCCTCTTGACTTTTGTGATTATATTGGGCCTGGTGGGGTCATCTGGGATAAACTTCCCATATCAAGAACCTTAATTTAATCACAGCTACAAAATCCCTTTTGCCAGTGAAAGGAACATGTGCAGATTTTTGAACTTAACACTTGGACTTTTTGTTGTGTGACATCATTTTTCTATCACAGGAAAATAAAGAGTCAGTATTTCATACAGGGCAGAGAGCAGTTACTCAGGATTTAATGATATAAATAGGGGGTTACTCACATATGATTTGTGACCTTGAGAATGCCCAAACTCTGCCTTTTCATCTTCTGTTCTCTGCCCCTGTCTACAGGAGCGATGCACTACCTGAAAAATAGCCTCAGAGCCTCGGGGCCCTGATTCATTTTTAAATGGGTCTGGGTCCAGTTACCTACCTCTTCTCAGCCACCATTTAATAATACAGCTAAGGTTGAGTGACATTCCAGAGTCTAAGCTCAGGCCTTTGGGGAATATTTCCCTTCCCCTCTCATCCCACGTCCAACATTATAGGAAAGTCACGTGGATGCCTGGGGATTATTTCCTGAAGGATATACATCAGGATATCAGTGTCATTTTTTGAGCAAACAGATTATCCATTTTTCCTCCTGGAGTTGTATTTCTTTCCTTCTTTTATTTCGCCTTATTGATTTAACTTTCATGATGTTAAATCTTGAAACTTTAATATATAGCATTGTTTTTTCCTCAAAGGAGGAAACTTGCTACATGGAGTATGGGTGCTATGGGGATGATTGAATTGGAGAGGTTTCACCTACAAAGGAAAAGATTAATGAAGAGATATAGGAATTGTACATAAGAGGGTTTCAGTTTACTCCTTCTGATATCGGTATAGCACATGTTGAAAATTTGCTATCTCATGCATCTCGCATAATTCATAGTGCTATCTTCAGGGATATGGATTGTTATTTTTATTTTATAAAACAGGAAGTTAATGCAACGTACCCCAGGTCACACTGACAGTAAATGATGTGGTTAATATTAAAAACTAAGTCTATAACTAACTACTATAATTTCTTGTTCCCTTATATTAATAGTTTCTCCCGAATTATAGGCATAAGAAAAAAATAGTCATCTTGATTACCATCCACTCAAGCTAACAAGGCTTCCAGTTTTTGGTCAGAAGATGCTATTATAACTCTCTCCCTCGTGAGCATGCCAGAGGGAAAGGCTTTTCTCTCAGGGACCCTTCCTTCCACATTCCATTCCTTGGTATTGCAACCAAGAAACCTCTGAATAAATGCATACCATTGTGCTTTCTAGCATGGTGATGATGCCACTTCAAGTTTCAATGAAGAAAGCCTCATCTTCTGTACCCTGGATCTCTTCTTCGCTGGAACAGAGACAACTTCGACGACACTGCGTTGGGCACTGCTTTACATGGCCCTGAATCCCGACATCCAGGGTGAGTGTGCCTTGGCCAGGAAAGAAAAGGGCTTCCCAGGCCAGCTGCCTCACCACTGGGGCCACAGGATAACACGGACACCAGAGAGAAAGAGGGATAGACATGAGGTAAAGGAAACTTGAGGCAGGCACATCCCTCAAGTTTCCTATCAAGATGTGAAGGGAGCCACATAATACAGAAATAAGTCTTTGTCATCAGAAAACTAAAATTCTAGTGGGTCAAATAGTGAAGACATTGTGGAGAGTTCCAAGAAAAGCTGGAACTCCTATCCCTCCATTTAGCTATGGCTTTTAGTTATGTGCATCAGGCAGATGAAGTTCAAAGTCCTGAGGCTGGCATATTGTACCTCTGAGGCCTATCCAGCCTCAACTCCATCCGCCCTGCATGGTGTCATCACTAAACTACCTGTCCTTTCTCCGACTTCCCGTATTTATACCTCTGTGCCATTCTCCTCCACAACTACAGACTCTACATGAAGAATCTGCTCCAATACAACCTTCTCTGAGATACAACTCTACTCTTTTAGGAAAAACTAGCTTTTGCTTCTTCTAGAGATGACCTCTTGTACCTCCATTACTCTGTTCATCACATATTATTCATACATCTACCCCACGGATTTCAGTCCATTCTAGGGCAGGGCTATTATAATAATTTTTCTTTCTCCACTTCCCAGAATAGTTTGAGTAGTTGAGGGAAGGGGATCTGTTAAGATACAGTTTTATAAACTGTAGTAACTGCTTATTAATGGGAAATCATTTCAGTAAAATGGAACTGACTCTTTTCCCTAAAATAAAAATGGAATAGATCATTTTTTGCCATGTTCTAACCTATAAAACTGCATGCAATGTGTGTGGATTCTAAGTCATGATACAAAAATGCATTTGTAACTGTGAATTATATCTTTTAGAGTTTTAAAAGCTATCATATTTGGATATAGACTTGCTTCTATAATAGAAGCTCCAAAATAACAGTGACTTAAAATAATACAACTTCATACTACATTCATAGCAGAATTATTTACACAGGTTAAGAAGTATAAATAACCTCAGTGTTCATCCAAAGGATGGACAGATAAGCTGTGGAATATTACCCAGCCTTAAAAAAGAAGGAAATGCTAACTTGTGCTACAATGCAGATGAGCCTTGAGGACATTATGTTAAGCTAAACATTCCAGTCACTAAAAGACAAATATTGTATGATTCCACTCATATGACATCTAATCAATCCATAGGAACAGAGTTATACAATTATGGTGGAATTGTGGAATTATGGTTGCCAGAGGCTGGGATATAAGAAATGTTTCATGAATGTAGTTTCAGTTTAATACAAAAAAAAAAAAAGATCTGGAGATTCATTGCACAATCATGCTAATATACTAGTATCATTCAGCAATACAGTTAAAAGTTATTAAGATGATACCTTTTATGTTACATTCATTTTTTATCATTAAAAACATTTTAATAGGTAGCTGAAAAACAACAGTAGCTCATTTCTCTTTCAGGCAGAAAATTGAAGCTGAACTCTGAAGAGTCATTTGGGTTATAGACTCCTACCAGATTGTTGCTCTGATGTATTTAGAATGTTTCCCTGGTGGGCAAATCAAAGATGGCTCACCTCTAGGGCTGCCTTTCCACCAATAAGAAGGGACAGAGGGGAAGGGAGCTTGCCTTTCCTTTAAGAGCATATAGTAAGTATTGCACTTTGCAATTAATAGGAATATGCTCCACTAGCCATTTAGTATTGCGAAACCTGGGAGTTGTAGCCTTTGGCTGAGGGATAAGCTAAACTCTTGTGGGAGTGAAGTAGGAAAATGATTTGGGTGAACAGTTAGTAATGTCACTTACTTGTTGACCTGCTCACCTAAGTCAGTTCATGTAAATCTCAAAATATCCTTAAGATGAGAGTTGATCTATTGTCACTCATAAGAAGTGGAAACTAATTCTCACAGAGTTTAAGTAACTCTCAGCTAGAATGTTGTAGAGCTAGAGCTTACAGATTTGTCTTACACCAAGACCTTCTTTTCATTCATATTCCTCACAGAACCTAGAGTCTAGCACCCACTGTAATTTTAGCCATGTTAATTGATTCTGGTTATTCCATTCCTAGCTTTACCAGAACATACGGAATACTAAGAATAATAGAAGCTTCTCTTACTTTCCAGAAAAAGTACATGCTGAAATCGACAGGGTGCTTGGCCAGTCCCAGCAGCCAGGTATGGCTTTTCGAGACTCCATGCCCTACACCTACGCTGCCGTCCATGAGGTACAGCGAATGGGGAACATTATACCCATGAATGTGCCCAGGGCGGTGTCGACACCCACCACCCTGGCCGGATACCATCTGCCCAAGGTAAGTGGGGACACCTGGCCTCAGAGTTTTATGTCCATCTTGAAATGATAGGAATATGAACTTGAAAAGTTAAATGCTATCTTGTATAAAGGACTCAATAGAAGAAGAGAGAAATCTTGATAGGAATATGAACTTAAAAGTAAAATGCCATCTTGTATAAAGGCCTCAATAGAAATGAGAGAAATCTATTATACCTGATATAAAAGTAGGTTCTTTTTCTCCATGTGTGCTCTTTTAAACATTCAGTTCAGCTAGATATTTACAGTTTTGATAGAGCGGAAAGAGGCTTCCTCTTAAATCTCCAGATATGTTTAGGCAAAACCTGGCTTTCTTTTGGTAGTGGAATTTCTCAGGGTTTTGCAATTCTTCATGGGATAAGGAGAGTTCTCAGTAAAACTTCTTTTCTATGCCCTCGTAGGGCACCTCTCAGCCCTAGAAGCCTGCTAGATTTACTATAGAGAATTCTGGTTCACGGTCCTGGGTTATAAAATATTAAAATACAAAGGGACATTTCAGAACACTTGTACCAATAACAAATGCTGGAGTTCCTAACATGATACCCCGCAGATATTTTCCCATCTTTTACTTACAATCCCATGAATGACTGTCCCACAAGGGAAACCGATCTAGGTGTGGACTCTTAAAGGCAGAGAATGGAACCAGTGGTAAGTAAGTGGTGATGATGTACATAAACTACATATATTCTTTAAAACTGTCTTCATTAATGCTGATAACAGTTCTGTAATTCCCATTTTATAAATGAAGCAGCTGGGACTCAGAGAGTGATTAGCTTGCATAAACTCTCTCAACTACAAAGTAACAACAGCTGGGTTCAAAGTCTGTTCCTTCCTGATTTCCTGGCTTAACTTTTTTATTTGCCATCATGTTATCTCACAGGACTTGGCTTTCTTTGATTTTTTAAAAAATATTTATTTTATTTATTTATACATACATGAGCTGGGATATAAGCCAGAGGTGTGGGAGGTGAGTGGATTCACCAGAGAGAGAAAATGGGGAGCAGAACAGGCGATTTACTGAAATACATTGCTGAGGGGCACAGCAGTCGAGACAGCAGAGGTCTGCTGGGCCATGTGGTCACCTCCCTGGCCGAGGATCAATTTCGGGATCAAATTTGTGCTGCAGTGGCTGTGGATCAGATCGATTCATAGTGCTGAGTCTTAACCCCTGTCCCACCTAGGGGAATTTAAAATCACTTTCTTTGATTTTAAAGTCTCCCTGCCATTTTTTCTCACTTGATCTATATTAAATCCTTTGTCCTCACCATGGAAATCCTGGTCACCCTGCACACATGGATTCCTGACTTCCACAGACCTCTCCTGTGTGCACTCTGCATTTTAGCAGTGCCTTCTCATCACCTTGGCCTGCCTTTCTGGATCCATTCCAGTCTGCCCAGGTCCCTCTGAATGTGGCACATGTGGGCACAGCCTCAAGGGGAGGAACCAGAAGAGCTGGCCTATTGGACCATCCCTGGTCGATACTCCTGCAGGGCCAAGACAAGCAGCTATTGTGCGCTATCACATTCCTTGTTTCTTACTAACTGATTCCCTTAAGGATGGAGACTGAGGCATAAATTATTCCACAGGTTCTATTTACATTTCCTAGTGACTCATTTAACTCAAGGGTAACAGCCCAGTTGAACAGATTACTTTTACCTCAGCTTTTTTTTTTTTTTTTAAAGATTTATTTATTTATTTGTGCATACAGAACTGGGGTACAGGCCAGAGGCTCAGGGGTGGTGAGAGGCTTCACCAGAGACAGAGTGGGGAGCAGAACAGGCAGATCTACGAAGTACACTGCTGAGGGAAGCAGCGGGCGGGTCAGGAGAGGTCTGGCTCGCCATGTGGTCTCCTCCGGGGCAGGCGGCAGGCGGAATTGAACTCATGCGGAAGTGGCTTCAGATTCTCAGTGCTGTGCTTTAACCCGCTGCGCCACCAGGGAGGGCCTACCTCAGCTTTTTAACATCAACTTGAATAACCATCCTGGGAACTGAGAGATCTAATCGTATGTTGTAGATGTCCAGAGCCATAACTTTTATATCAAATAGACCTACTTCAAATCATGGCTCTATTTCTACCACTGTATCACCCTGGGAATATTAGATAACCTGTCAGAGTTTCTTTATCTTTGTCTGTAAAATGCATTTAAACCTACCTGTGGAGGTAAAATAAGGTCATGCAAATAAGAACATTTAATCCAGTACTTATCATAGAAAATGCTCAAAATAGCAGTTATTATTCTCAAATATTCATTAAGCTCCTAAAGTACTTAGAGGTGGAAAACAACCCTAAGTAAAATAATCATGCAAGTCCACACTTTCAAATGTAGTAACCGGCTCAAGACAAACACCCACTGGTTCCATAAAGATATTGGCCAGCAGATTGGGAGTAGGGGTGGAGGGAGGGTCAGATTAGGCTTCCAAAGGGAAGCAATGCTTGAGCTGAGGGGGATTGAGTATTATTAAATTAGTGCCAAAGGAGGAAGGACATTCCAGGCAAGGTGAGCAGCTTGTGAAAGGCAGGGAAATGAACAGGAACACGGTGCTTTTGAGAACCAGAGCAAGGTCTGCCCAAGGTGGGTGCATATGCAGGAGAGACAGGACAGGTGAGGGGCTCCCATATAAGAGAGATGAGAAGCTACTGAAGGCTCTGGAGATCAAGGTGTGAGTGGGCTGACATGACTTCATCATGTCCAGAGTGTGCCTGCTCTCAGAATGGGGCAGATTGAAAGGGGAAGAAGGAATGGGGACAGCTAGATGGCTGTTGCCGGAGTTGTTGCAAGCAAGACAGTGGCCAGGGCGAAGGGGGCAATGGTGTTCATAGAGTGGAGGTGACAGAACCTAGAGAAATTTAAAGTGACATTGACCAGCCTCACTGAAGGCCCAGAGACATAATGAGGGAAGGGAGGGCTCATGGCTGAGAGGATGCCCGGGTTCCTTGCTATGTGCCCTGATGAATAGTGACCACTTTCCCTGGGCAACCTGGTTCCTTCCTGTGGCCTGCACTAGGCAACAGATAGAAAGAAGGGGAGAAACAGATGAATGGGCTATCCGTGGCTTTGATAGAGCTGCCAGAGTTAGCACTGGCCTGAACAGCAGGTTGATTCTCCTGCAGTGTTGACTGGCAGGTGGCGGTGTTATTCTCCAACTGTTGCGTGCATGCCCCTCCCAAGTCTTACACTGGTATGTCCCTGCGAAGACGATCCAGTCTGCTGTTCACAGTAGCCACACTTCCCGGTCAATTTCCCAGCTGACAATTGCTGTCCATTATTGCAAGCTCCCCTATAGCACAGAGCAGGGGCTTGAGAAGGGTCTGAGCAGCTGGGAGCCAGGGAACAGCCACCACTCTGTGCACGAGTGTTGGGAGTGAGCCCTCTCCTGAGTCGTTGCTCCTTTCCCTAGGGAACCATGATCCTCACTAATCTGACTGCACTGCACAAGGACCCCAAAGTGTGGGCCACACCTGACAAGTTCAACCCGGAGCATTTTCTGGAGAATGGACAGTTTAAGAAAAAGGAATCCTTCCTGCCTTTCTCAATCGGTGAGTTATAATAAAGGAGTGTGACAAGCCAGAGTTCTCTCAGCTCTCTCCCACTCCTACTCTCTGCTTTGCTTGGAAAGTCTCCAGACACCCTGCCCCTCACAGCTCAGCTCCCTCTGCTGTTCTTTGCTTCTCAGGATTGATTCCCTAGGCTGGATGTTGCTTAGGCTGCCTCTCCTTTTCCTGGGGACACCCTGTTACATACCTGTCAGAGGTCATCCAGGAGATGTGGATGATGTATTCTCTAATAGTTCAGAAAAAACAAATCCTTGGTATTATTCTTATACATTTTTCTGTACATTGTTCTTGCAACTTCAGAATAAGAAGAATAGGAAAAATATCAGTAAAAATTAAAAATACACAGACACAGACATTTTGGTGGTGGCTATTGCTCCCACCTCCCATTTTTTAATTCAAAGGTGGTCTTTGAAATGACATTTTTTTCCATTTATTGAGAGGTAACCAGATAAAGTTAATATTCTTATAAACAAATGCTTATTATTATCCAGAACTATGTTAAAATATTTTGCTTTACCATATCAGTTATCAATATATTTGGCCTATTTGAATTCAGTGTGTAGCCTGACAATAGATAAAATATTGTTTCATCTTAAACACAGACAAACACACATTTTCACTAATGCCGAGAGAGATCACTTCATTTGCCTCAAAATACAAGGCTGGGGAGCAGGAGGAATTGAACTGAATCTCAGTCCTGCCTCCACTTCAGCAACATGCACAGGGAGAAGGGTGGAGCCCAGTTGGCCCTTGAGTGAACACTGGTCCTCATGGCCTACATAGAAGCAAAGGACCTGTTTCAAGAAGAACCCCCATTTCTAAGAAAGACTTCAAAGAGAGGCTGAATCAGGTGCCATGGAGAGGGCCCTCTGTGCCCTCCTGCACACTTCCTTTGCACACCCACACCTGACATTCGATTGCTCATATTTTGGAGTAGTTTTTTTGTTTTTTTTT